CCAAAAAAAAAAAAAAAAAAAAAGACTTTGGAGGCACACCTTTGGTGCTCTTCTTTGCGCAGGGTGCGACAGCTAACAGTTCTAACCTCCCCTCTGGAGGAGAAAGTGAAATCTTAAGCTCTCACCAGCTCCTCTTCATTGTTTTCCCTTTTGAGATCAGACAGTGAACTCTATAATTCGTTACACCTTTTCTGACTTCGGAGTGGGGTTTGGGCGATTTTGATTATGTAATAACATATCCCTCATTTTGCACATTTGAGTAGTTCATTTTAGACATATTAACCTTTAAAAGGGCAGGCAACAGGGTCTTTCCGTGCATCTTCAGATTTTCTCTACATCCTGTTTTACGTGTGGTTAGATCAGTCGATGAATCACGTGATGTTTTGCTTCTGTCAAAGAACAGAAGTAGAGACTCCAAGTAACCACGTGGAGGAGCATCCTGAATGTTTACCAAACACGTTGCTTAAAAACATGCTTTTCTAGGTTCAAGTGCTTTTTATGAAAGAGTAGTGCGAGGGCGCTGCCTGAGGGTGCCTGTCTTCTCAGAAGGTGGGCAGGAGCCTGCTTTTAGGGAATTGGCTGCACGTGCAACACAGGCGTCTCAACACTTACAAATCTCCACGAGCTATACAGCCCTGCTCATTGCACTTTTGGTTATATATTTTATAAAAAGGTTAGGACTTAGAACGTAAAAGGCCCCTGTCCTGGACCATGCACTGCTTTGATTGATGGAGACCTCATCCTAGGTTTAGAAGTCAGCTCACCTGCAAAGAGGCCAGAAACCCTGACTAATGGGTACCCACCAGCTCATACAGTCCTGGGCACTGGTCTGTGTAGAGATTTACAGAAGTAGAAAGATTATTAAATCCAAGAAAATATTTCTCAAGATAATGTCATTTAATTATAACTATATAAATACTTTCTCAGTCTCTCTCCCACTTCAGTTTGAAGAAAAAGAAAAATCCAGTCAGAGAACTACTGCGTCTTTAAATGGATGTGTTTCTGGAAACTAAGGGTACAAAAAAGTGGCTCTCCCCCTGCCCCTTCCTTCCAGAAGACCCCCAAATGAGAATGAGGTAGGAGGGTAAGGAGGTGTTAACTTTTTCACCTCTTGCTCTAGAGGTATCACTGAATAACTTTTCTGATACTTGGGAAATGCAGTGATTATCCCAATCCCAAGAGAGACCAGAAAAGGCTGCATGTGGGGACCACAGAGCTGGCTCCTGGTTGGGAAGTGCCCTGCGGTCTTGATGGAGCTGGACTACAGCGGAGCCCCCGGGGCCTCCTTTCTCGTGGGCCTCCCGGGCACCTCCAGAGGTTATTTGCTGGGAGGACTCGGGGAGTGAAAAACCAAGCGCTTTTACTACTGTCGTGAAGCCTGGCCCCATCCCATATACCCTAAACTGTCACTAAAGGTTTCCATTTCTGAGGGTATGGGCCATCCCTGGACAGTTCCAGAGCCAAACCAACTGCTGGTGCAAAACACACATGCAAAACAAAGAAGATGGACTTTTGCACAAGACCAGCCTGAGGCAGGCGACGAGGGGGGCGTGCCCGGCTCTCACACAGTGACGTAAACCAGCGGCCTTTGTGTCCAAATGAAAGAGTCTCAAGCAAGTGAGGGCTTCCAGCTAACGTGCAAACCTCTGGACACGCCCTGAGCCGAGTGGTGGCCCCGGAGCAAGCCTGGCCTGCTTCCTCCGGCTCAGATCTTGGTGTCTCACGCACGCCAGTGACATTGAGGTCCCGCGCAGAGCCCACAGCAGCTGCGTTGAGAATGACCTCGCCTGTGCCCCTCGGAAAGCAGAGAGGCCACGCGACGAGCTGCTCTTGACCTGAGCTGGCCCAGAGAAGGCCCTGGGGATGGAAAGACCACTCCGAGCAGCCTGGACTCACTTCTCAGCATCTAAATACAAGCAGCTTGATGCCCCCGTGGTTTGAGATCCCGTGTGTCTACGAGGCATGGGTCCACACCGCGAAAGTCACGTCTGGGCTTTCCACGGTCCTTGACCTGAGACCCTCCAGGCACGGCTCCCTAAATACTTCTGTCAGCTGAGTGACTCGCATGAAAAAAGAAACCTGGGTTGGAGGCACATTTCTTTGGGCGGCGAAGTCAAAGGGGTGCCCCCCTCACCCTGAAAAGTGGGAAGGAGACCCATTCCTTTTCCTCTCCTGTCTGTGTTGGTTAGAACAGCTGCAGAAGAACCTGCCAGCAGCGGGCTTTGCTCTGGAGGTTAAGGTGTGTGCTTGTCAGCCCAAGCTGTGAAGTGACTTTAGCAGCCCAAGTGGATGAAGGAGCCTGCGAGGAGAGGGCATATGGCTGGAGGAGAAAGGTTCTGGACGTGAGCGCCCTGCACAATCGGCAGCCCCGTCACGGTGGCCTGGGTCGGGGCTTGTTTCCTGTGTTTTCTGAAACTCTAACAAAACACGCTGGCCCGTGACTCTTATCACCGAAGGTGTCTCTGAGGTTGTAATGCTGTGTTCTAATCGCATAATGAAGAGCCCAGCTGGTCTTCCCCGATTCGGAGGGAAAGAATTTGCTTTTTCAATTTACTCTTTAAGCTCCAACCCCACAAGCATGAAATACTAGTCACGCATGTTAAAAAATACTGCTGTTTAATTTTCTAGTCATGTACTTTAAAAAAAGCCGATACAATTAGATTTTTTCCCCCATCTTCTCAGATCTGCCCCTGAAACCACCCCAAAGCGATGCATCTTAATTCTCAGCGGAAAACCCGCTCAGAGGAAGCCCCTGAGGAGGATTTGTCCCCCAGGGGTCACTGGGTGTCCAGACATGCGAACGAACCCTGTGATATTCATGGCTGACTCCGAGCCTTTACATTCTTTTTTCTATGAGGAGCAATGATTACACGGCACCGAAAGCAATAAACGCAAAAGGCTTGACGACTTCTTTCTTTTTTGCCCTTCTAGCATATATTTCCATTCCCACTATTGTCTACATCAGCTGACCCATTTATACCCCTGTTGCTCATAATGAAAAATAGTTCTCTTGTCATTTACTGACCCTTACATTTATATACAAATGACAGACTGTAAAACTGCTGCAAACGAGACACACTGTTCATCGATACAATACGTTTCAACTGCAGGTTATGTTGAGCACACGAGCTGTCACCGTATTGTATTAGAGACATTTTATTGAAAATGCGAAAATAGGAAATGTATCATAGCCTAAAATAAATTACATAACATATACAGTATATATTTATATCTTTAAAATATTTTTGTGTTTAGGTTCTTTCAGTCTAGGAATTTTGACTAAATCAAGAATTTAGTGAACCGTGTCCATATTTTTTTTAAAGAAAAAACCCGCTTTCCAAAACTTAGAAAAATATACTGCACTGAATGGATTTCAAATGTGTCATTTCAGGGAATATCACATAGTGACTTTTTGCTATCGTTTATAAAATGTCTTGCTTTCTCGTGTGGTGTGAGAGGGGAGTACAGAAGTACACTCGGAATTACCTGTGCCGTGCGGTTAGGACCAGGTCATAAATCTACTTTCAAAGTGATGATACAGCAACCTGGCATTAGAATGCTAGATTATGACTTAAAGCTTCAGTTCACTTTAAAAACTAAAACGTAAAGTTAGAATGCTCTGTCCGTTTCCCTTGCTCTAGTGCCATCTTCAGGAAAGGTGAGTGGAAAAACAAGCCTTCAGGGAAAGTCATGCCCAAGGACGCGGCAACCCAGAGATGCGCTTCGGGACAACTTTAACAAGGCAGCTCACGTATGTACAGGACAGGGCCTCAAAGTGAGCGCGCAACTCAAACCTAGGAAGGGGCGAGGTGAAGTGCTATCGTTTGCATGTGTCAGTTTCTGCCCCCAAGGCACCTCACACCTTCCCACGGGAGATTATTTCCGTCCGTCCACCTGTCCAGCGCGTTCACACGTCGCATCCACGGTGCGATGCCTCTGAGCCACAGCTCTTGACACAGTCACGTTACTGGGAAGCCGACCAAAGAAAGCCGAGTTGTCACCTGTTGGTTCTCAAGAGCGATGCAAGGGGACAGGGTCAGTCTGTGGCCCGCCGGGCGGTGGTGTCTGAGGGGCGATGGACGGCACAGCCGCGGTCGGTCCTTTGGTTCCAAGGGGAGACTGTCCGAGGGGGTGGGGAGGCAACGTGGGCTACGAGGCAGCTATGTCTTCGGGCTTCTCACGGAGCGGGGGCATGAAGTCAGTCGTTTGGTTTGTTTCCACAAAGCAACGGCGAGACCATTCTGCAGGTCCTCACATCAGCGTGGGCATACCCAGTATGCCAGAGTGGCCGTGAAACCGTAAGATCAAGGCCTCTTTCATTACCCAAACGAAAACCAAAGACGAAAGCGGAACAAAACACGACGGGAGAGCGGATGACGCTGAAGTGTCATCTCGGCCGTCCCTGCAGCGCCCGGGCGCCCGCGCCTCATTCGCGCCCCTCCTGCATCTCCACGGCGTCCGTGCCCTCCTCTGCTGGAGGTACGTCTGTCATCGCCGAGTCCTCCCCGTCGGCGGCCGACTCGTTTTCCATCTTCTTTTTCTAGACCAAAGCAGACTCATCAGCGCGGGGCTGGGGCACGGACGCAGCGCAGCAGAGCCAAGAGCAGGGGGAGGCCACGGGGTCTCCGGGGACCCCTCGCCGCGGACTGGGATCTCATTTATGGCTGCGGCGACCTCGCCGAGGCTGCATCTTAGGCCAGCATGTTCCTTACAGTGGGGTTACTCGGGAGTGGACTGTGTGCCTGGCTCTTGTGTTAAGCATTCGGGGCGTGGGTGAGGGGTGGGCGGATCCTGTCTCCCACCTCCCCGCCCGCCCATCAGCTGACGGAGACCTGCCTTTGCTTGAGGACGCCACCTCCCTGCAGCCCTTGCCAGCGGGGGCTGTGCCCTCCCCTCCCCTCCCCTCCCCTTCATGGCCGTATGCAGACCGTGCAGACTCGGTCTCCTACACCTGGGGAGTGCCAGGCAGGTGTGCGGTTCTGTCGCCATCTCTCACCTGTTTCCGATAGACGTAGCATGCTGCTATGGCGACCATGGTGGATTCTCCCACAAACCCCGCGAGGAGGGAGCCCACGCCCAGGGTGGCTCCGTGTACCCTGGGGATGAGCACACAAAGACCACTGGTCAGTTAAAGCCCCGCTGAGGCACAAAGAGAGTCAAAACCCAGCCAAAACCCAGGAAAGGTGTAGACAACAGGGGGACCCGACGGTCGCGTTCGAGATCTGCTGGTTAGGGCTGCAGCTAGTAAACGGGCCACCGGCGGGGGGAGGGGCCTGGAGCTCCGGGGCCCAGGCAGCTCTCACTCCTGCTTCAGGTCTCAGCTCAGCATCTCCTGGGGGAGGGGCACGGCACCCGCTTGTGAGCCCACAGCATCCTGCCCGTCCTCTCTGCACCGTGAGGTTTCCCAAGCCGTGGGACGGACCATGCCCCTTCTGCAAGGACCCGGGCGACGCACTTGCTCCCTTGTGTTTTTCACCTTCCCGTGCCTGCCACGCCGTGACAGATGCTCGATGCGGTTTGTGTACGGGCCTGACCCCGAAAGTACTTTTCTAGAATGGATCTCGACAGCCTCCCGCCTGGTCCTGGGCAGCGAACCAAGGCATCCCCCCGGCATTTCTAACTCTAGACGTGCTTGGGGATTTCCCGGGAAAGAGCAGCTGTAACCTTCTGGGCAGAGCGTGTAAGTGGCAGCAGGACCTGCAGCCCCAGCCCCCCGACCACGTACCCCAGGTAGGGCAGGACCACGAGGCTGGTGATGAGCACGATGATCCGCAGCACAGAGCTGGGGGCCAGGACGAAGGTCTTCTTCAGGGTCATCAGCCACCCGGTGAGATGCGCCCTCACGGTGACTGAGGGGAGAGCCGAGGACTCGTCGTCAGCAATGCCCCGCTTCTCCCGTCCTGCTGCTTCTAACCCCCCAGAGCCCCCCGCAGCGCATCCAGGGTCCCCGGGCGGCTGCGTGGGACCCAGGCCTTGCTGCCATTGCCCTGCGCTGGTCACCTCGTCTTCCCGCCGGGGCTGCAGATCCCCCCGCCTCTGGGCCTGGGGGAGCCCCGTGCCCACCTCGGCTCCCTCGCTTCACAGCCTTAGTGTCCAGAGAGTGGGCTGTGGGCAGCCCCTTTCGCCGCCGTGACCGCCATCCCTGGGGCATGGGGCTGCTGCCGGTCCCTCCCCACCCCCCGCCCCTGCCCCCGCCTAGCCTCAAGCTCTGATCACGCTGGTCACTTGATGGTGATCCAGGTTGACTCTGGGAGCAGAGGAGCTGGGCCAGAAGCTGGGTTTCCCAGCCCGCAGGCTGGGGGAGGTGCGGAGGAGGGAGGCGTGGGTGAGGAAGAGGTACGGGCATCCCTCCCCTGTTTCCTCCCCAGCATCCTGACCACTGGTCCGCAGCTGGCTCCCTCGTTTTCAGAAAGGCCTCACAACGTGTTCCAGGTACCCCGTCTCCCCACCCTGACTTGTGAGCTTCCGGAGGGCAGGGAGGGCACCAGCCCCAGCGCCGAGGAGGGGCTCCAAGGACAGCGCGTCAAGTATTGACGGGCTGGTTTGGGGCACAGACACCCTGGGCGACGTTTAGGTTTGATCTGAAACCAGGTGGGGTTTGGGGAAGCGGGAGGCTGAGCCCTTCATCCCGTGTGGGCGGCAGCAGGCAAAGGCCTATAGGGGGGGGGGGGGGAAGTGCTCACTCCTGGGGTGAAAGCTCGTGTCCAGGCTACCTCTGGAGGAAGAATGTGCAGTCTTCCTGGTCTGACGCCGCGCTCCGCCCGCCCCAGGTGGAAGCATTGAATTTATGAGACATAGACACTCACTTGTGTTTGGCCAAGGGAGAGGGTGAGGCCGCACGGGCGGGAATGCTAACCTGATTGGCCCAAACCCAGCAGGTGGCGAAGACAGGTGGGGCCGGCTGTCTGCACGCCCCGTGGTCTGACAGGCGAGGAAAGACGAAAGGCGAGTCCCACCCCAGTCCTAGCTCTGGGAACTCCAGTGCCCGCTCAAGTCCAGACTGGGGAGTCAACGACATGTGCCTTGATCTCCACCAAGTGCAGCCTCTTCCAGGTGGCGCCAAAGCTTGGCTCCCCCGGTGACCCCCACCTCATCCCCATCCCCAAGGACAAGAGGGCACCCCAACAGTCTCCAGGAATGCTTGGCACCTCAGAGCAGGGGCAGCTCGTGGCCTGACTTGGGAACAGGCCCAGGGTGGCAGGTGTGCCATCAGCCCCGGCTTCGACTAGCTCCACGGCCCATTTCTGGCCTCGGCTTTGACTCTGGATTCTTCTTTTCTCCAGCAGTCCTTTTAGAGTCTCAGTACAGGCATAGATTTGTGTAGCCATCACCACAGTGAAGACACAGAACTGTTCTACTGCCCCTGGAACTTCTCATGCTATCCCTTTGGGCTCTTTTTACTGAGTTTGCAACCACTGTCCTTTAAGAAACAAATGACACCTGTTCGACTGGTTTCTCACACTTTCAACGGACTGGATAATGTCCTTGCATCTTTTTAATCCACTGTGAAATTTAAAAACTTGAAAAAAAAATTTTTTTGTTGGCCAACAAAGAAGACTGAATCAGGCATAAGGGTAAATAGGAATTTTTCTTTCATTCTCTGTTTACCTGGAACCGGGAAGAAGGAGAAGATTCTCAAGGGAACAACGCAGAGTTCTGCGAAGGCAAAGTCCACGCCAATGATGTCTATCAAAATTTTCTCGGAAACGTTGGGGGTCCAGAACATCACAAAACAGAGCTGCGGGGAAAAAAGGCGGGAAGCACGGTTGTTAGAAAAAGGTGTACGTGAGTGAAACGAGAAGGCAGGTATCACGTGATCCCCGAGGAGCTAGGAAAGAGGGTGAACCTGCCCGATCGGGGGACTGGCACGTGGGTCCTCGAGCTGCCTCCGCCTTGCTCTGTTCTCACCTGACAACACAGGCCCTGGCCCATTCGCCACACCTGCCCCAAAGGGAGCCTGGCAGCGGGGCCCATGTGACAGGCAGGCATCTGAGCGGGTAGCCGGGCCAGTGTGGAAGCCTTACCTAGGCTGCTGGACAGCTCAGTTAGTTCAGGGTGAGCGTGTTTATTAATGTAATTTTTACATTAATTTTAACCAAATAATAAAAAGTGACCTGAAAGCATTTGGACGCAGGCAGAATTGCATTGAACCAGATCTGGGAGTAGGAAAAAAGGCGAGGGCAGGTTGGGAGAAAGCTATTGCGGGGACCAGTTCTTAGAGGCCTGACTTTTTAAGCTTTGTGTGTGTATAACCGATTGAAAAGCTGAATTTAAAAATGTAACGCTATAACTTTGGAAGAGAATGTCAGAAAAATGCCAGCTGCATAAAATACTTCTCTCCCTTTCTTAAGATGTAAGTGATTCTTCTCTAAAATGAAAGTGAATGCATTATAAAATGAATTGCATTCGTGTAAAAACAGAACACTGAAGTTTTAGACTATAACGACCTTTAGGCTTTGGGTAAATTAAGTTTCGTGGAATTAGGCTGGTCCTGTTTACTATGTCATGCTGAAATATGTTAAAAAAAATACCTTGGAGGGTCTGTTATAAATACGTTTCACTTTCATAAATGCAATGGAACTTTTATTCTATCTTGTATTTTTCAGCATCTGGGAAGAACATCCCACTTGATTTTCAAAGATGACAGATGTACTATCATTTAACCCTACTGCCTGATGCAAGTACTTACACCCCATCTCTGAAACGAAGGGAAAAATACTTCCTAAGATCTAGCAACTCGAAGCTCGGAGGCTTTATTACCTAGTGTCCTGGACAAGTAGCCCTGCCATCTTTTCTCACTGCAAAGCTGCCGGCCTGAAATGGTGAGCTGTCACTCACGCCTACGGCCCAGGAATAGTGGCAATTTCATGATACGTTCACAGCGACACTGAGCACAGCACTGGGACACGGTTCATTTTCTTGACAAGTAGATTGACCATCCCTCCCTTCAAATATTTTCCACAGCAGTAAAGCTGTAAAGAATTAAGATAAGTGAGCATTGCCCCAACTCTGGACTTGATTGTGCATCAGGACTAATGCAGGATAGGCTATCCTGGGTTTCCTCTCTGGCTGGAGGGAGCTCTCTAGGCTGCGTTCTGCTAAAAAAAAAAAAAACAACAAAAACTTAAGCTTCCAGGAAAACCATCGGCAGGCTTTACTTATTTTGTAGCCAGTGCTTATCTGAATGTGAGATAATGCCTCCTGTTGCGATCTCTCTGTGCCTTGCAAAATCGCCGTGAAGTGCCTTTTAAATGACAACAAACCAAGGAAAAAGGAGTGTGTAATTGCATGTCAGAGAGGAAGGTGCAAGCAGGCACCGGTGGCAAAGGTCAGTCCTCCCTCTGGCTTCTCTGCACAGATAATGGTCACCTGGAGCCTTTCCACTGCCCTGGAGGAGAAGGTCAGTAACCTCTGGAGGAGTCCAACCTGACGACGCAAGATAGCAAAGTGCAAACAAATTACTGGAGACACTGACATAAATATCGAGTAACCAGGGCGGGTGACTGCAGTTCTGGCCCCTTGAAAGCAGAACAGTAAGGCTCGGTGGATCTCTAATAGAGCTTCCCAGGAGGGAGGCTTGATATGTCATTTCTAAAAGTCTACAGTATGATTTAACTTGACACCACTAAGCCCCTCTGTTCTCCAGCTGGTATCTGTCTGTGCCAAAGACACCCTTCAGGCCCCTATCAAGGCCACGTGCCACCGAGGTGCTTCTCGAGTTTTCAGCCCCACGCACCTAGAGCCTAGATTGGGTCTTTCTAGATCGGTGTAACTGAATGCTCTCAGTCTAGTCTGGGGCTTCAGCAATCACAGGTTTAAAGGGAAGCAATGCCACATGGATCGACACTTCCTTTCTTTTTCTCCCTGAAGTCTCTGAATTTGACCCTTTGCCTTTGCTCTACTTCCAGTATGAAAATGCTCCTTACCTTCCAGCAAGTTCTTTAAAAAAAAAAGGGACTTATTTCCAGCATTGCCCAGAAAGAAACACATGCAACTCAGAAGTAGGTTTGGTGTCGGTTAAAAGCTGCAATCCCTATATGCAGATCAAATTTTTCCAAGAAATATAGTGACCCCTAGCGTCATAATCAGATGAGATTTAGCCAGTCTGTTTCAGAAAACAAGAAGCTCTGGAAGCTAATCTAACAAAGAATACTTCAGGTAAAGTGTCTTTCTGATGAGTTCACCCAGAGCAGTCTTGACTTAGAACATGCCCTCCTAGTTGACCAGGACATGCCGTTTTCCTCAAATATTTGCAGAGCCTAATGACATTGACTTTTCCAAACCAGAACGCAAACCTAATAAACTACTGACAGTGAACATGATTTGTTCCTGGGAGGTAGCTGCAGGGCTGGGTTTTCTGCGGCTGAGCTTGCTGTCAACATTATCTCATTAGGAAGCAGCCAGAAAAGCACAACAACCCACTCCATGCCCCGATCTTGGTTCTTCTATTTATTCTCCAATAAAAGGAACCAGGGGTCCTTGGAGAAATGGCTCACTCTAGGACTAGGGTGGGAAATATACAAGACCATCAGCTTGGAACGATACATCGAAGGACACGGGAGTCCAGAAGAGACAGCTCCCACTGGCAAAGCTGGAGGAATCTGAGCAACAAAAAATGATGTGATATTGAATTATGAGCCACAGCACAGAGTAAATACCCATGTATACTGATATATATAAACAGATAGGGACAAATCTCCAGCACAGAAATTACAAGTAATTTCTGTAGAATACTCCCCCGTTAGGGAGGTGGAGGCATATCTCCCCACTCCTGGAGTGTGGGCTGATCACAGTAACTTCCTTCCAAAGGAGGACAAGATGGAAAAGGGGAAAAAAAACCTTCACGGTGGTGGTTGAGAGTCCGCCTGGCGATGCAGGGGACATGGGTTCGTGCCCCGGTCCGGGAAGATCCCACATGCCAAGGAGCGGCTGGGTCCGTGAGCCATGGCCGCTGGGCCTGCGTGTCCGGAGACTGTGCTCCGCGGCGGGAGAGGACACAACAGTGGGAGGCCCGCGTACCGCAAGAAAAAAACCAAAACCAAAACCAAACCAAACCAAACCAAACCAAACCAAACCAAAACAAAACAAAACCTTCACGGTGGAGAAACCTGGCAAACATAACGGGCCAGGTGATCAAGGTAACATCATCAGTGATGTCATGTTGATAGCATGTTCTCTTGAGGAGACGTGATGAGAATGGCCCTTTAACTATGTGGTTTTCCTTCCGAAAGCCCATATGCCCAGTCTAACCATGAGAAAAACCCCAGACAAACCCAAATTGAGTGACATTCTACATAGTGCCTCACCAGTATTCCTCGAAACTGACAAGGCCACAAAGACAAGCAGAGTCTGAGAAACTCTCACAAACCAGAGGAGGCTAAGGAGACAAGATGACTAACCGTAACGTGGTAGCATGGATGGGATCCTAGAACAGAGAAAGGACATGAGGAAAACGCTCATGAAATCTGAATGAACCGTGGAGTTTAGTTCACAATAACGTACTGGGGTTGGTTCCTTATTTGTGACAAATGTACCACAGCGGGGTAAGATGGAGTGCGGGGTGAAGGGTCCGTGCTAATCTTCACAACACTTCCGTAAATCTAAAATAATTCTAAAACAAAAAGGTTAAAAAAAAAAAAAAAAAAAAAAAAGAAGACCCATGACCCACTCCTCTTTTATTTGACAGACTGTGACTCTTTTTCTGAGGTCCAGGCACTGACCATGAAATTTCTACTTTGAATTTTGAGATACTTATTTGTTTTTCTTTCTTTCTTTCTTTTTTTAAATCAGTGACTTGTTTGCTTGCATCATTTTAATCCATTTTTTGGGAAGATTCGGCATCTACGTCTATGACAACAATGACGGGGATATTAAAATAGCAAACACTATGTAGCACTTCTTATGGGCCGGGAACCGGAAGAAATGCTTTGTACATACTAAATCATTTCATCTTTACTTTCCTATGAGAGCTGTACTATTACTACCCACTTTACAGATGAGACCAGGCACATAAAGTTTTCTTCACCTGCTCAAGATCACACAGCTAGCAAGTGGCCCAAACAGGACCCCTGCCTCTCTGGTTAAGCCCCCAAACACGTGATTAGCATGTCAGTGTTGTGGGCATGATTCCAGAGTAATTTTCAGGACAGGATCACTGCCACCTACCATCACAGACAAATTTACAAATGTACATGATGCTGAATACACATTGATTCATTCACAACATTTATCTGCCCCAATGCAGCTGGAGAATACCTGAGCTCCCCTGTGTATCTTTGTGGGGATAGAGGTATGGGTCTTATACCTGCGGCAGATCACAGTTTCCGGGTTGGGAGAGACAAGCGTGGTTTCTACAATCTCAGGTTCTCATGCATCCCTCTAGGGGTCTCCCCATTTGAACCCTTACCCTAGATACTGATGAAAACAGAATCTACTCGAACTATTTACATTGTTTTTTAAAGTTTAGGTAAATGAGAGTATCATGTTATTTTTAATACATTTATTAATAACATTGCTCCATCTTTTCTTATTTACCCAGTGCATTATTTACCTATCTATTCTAGATGAATTTTTGTTTGTTCTTCTTTCTCTAGTTCCTTTAGGTGTAAGGTTAGATTGTTTGAGAGTCTTCTTGTTTCTTGAGGTAGGATTGTATTGCTATAAACTTCCCTTAGAACTGCTTTTGCTGCATCCCACAGGTTTTGGATCGTTGTGTTTTCGTTGTCATTTGTCTCTAGG